GAATCTAGGGAAAGTGCGTTCGCGGGGATGCGGGTACGCGTTAAGAATCCCGCGCGAATATGTCAGTCGTAAAAGAGAGACGAAAGCGTCGACAGCTTTCGTAAAAAAGTCGTAATCAAGAAGTCGCGAGTCCAAGATGAATGCGCGAGCGTCTTACGGAAGGAAACGACAGAAAAAAGTCGTCTTCTAGAATTGAACGATTTGACTCGAGGAAACGCGGAGAGTAAAGTCGCGGGAAAAATATCGCGAAACGTCGAGACCGGCCATCGCACACGTACGTAGATGCGATAAAAAAAGCCGCGGACGGCGAGTAACCGCGATCGCGAGTTTACATAACCGCGTGTCATGTAACAGACTGTATTTGTATGAACAGTATTAAATACATGTATATTTATATATTAATGGAACCTGTTGTGTACCTGAAACACATCAAAAGGTTGTACTTACCTCTCCTGGATCCTTTCCTGAAATGGACACAGCATCGGAATTACAGAAACAATGAGAGGGGCGAATGGTATCTGTGCGTCCCTAGAAGATTCCTGGCAACCGTGAAAACCTGCAAAGGTGAGTAAAAGTAAACATTCATAAAAAATCGACCGGAAAATCCGGTCACAACCTAACCCATACTATCTAGTATCAAAACATTTTCTAAGTTTTTGTTATAAACCAAAATCCTTAAAATTCAAGATAGGGAGCTGTCTTTTTGCATGCGTGCGTTTCATCGAAAACTACGTCGATTGCCGTCATAAAAAAATTTTTAAAAATTTTTAACTCTGACTTGTGATCCTTAGTTACTGAAGCTAGATAGAGGATCGAGGTATAAGACCTTTTCGTCTTGTCTCGTTGAGATCTACAACTTTTGTCTGAAGCATTTCTCAAAATTCTCACGTTTTTTGTTTAAAATCAAAAGTCTTAATATTCAAGATAGAGGGCTGTAATCTTGCATGCGTGCGTTTCAGCCAAAGTTACGTCGATTCGCGTTATAAAAAATTTCGAAAATTTCAAATTTTCAATCGGTGCGCCTTAATTACTGGGTGGGCCTAAGGTGTCACAAAACTACCTGAAGGTAGCCCGCTCTCAGACCTTTTGATCCCCCCCACCCCCATCCCCCTCCGACGTCCCAGTAATTAGCGCGACCGCTTTGAAATTTAAGAGGTATCTCGGCTCCCAGACGTCCTAGCACGTTGTACTTCGGTGCGATGGAAAGCCCTTTTTTTCCCCTATCCAACGCACCAACAACCATCTTCCTACCTCTCCTGGGGGCTGAGTTATTAAGCTTTGAAATTTTTTTCAAAATTTTCGAAGACCATAACTCGAAAACTAAACGTCCTAAGGGGATTTTGTTTGCACCATCGTGTAGCCCTTTCAAAGGACTACCACCCTGCCCACTCACACCTTTTTTCTAATTTTTTTAATTTTCTGAAAAAATAAAAAAAATGTACCCCATATAATGGGGGTGGGGCGTGCTCAGCACACTGTCCCCTACCTCCCTATGTAGTTATCTCAAATTTTTCATAGAATCCTGCCCTGTCTTTAACTTTTTTTTAAAAACTACTATATAACCTAACCCATATGTATGTCTTCATATATAATGGGTTAGGTCCTAGTTGGTTAGGACCTAACCGGTAAGGCATCAAGTTGGGTTAGGTTAAAAAACTAATAAATATATATTCGGTCATTGGAGCCATTCGCTAGGTGTTGTGCGGAAATTATACGTGTATATATATCCATATATACGTGTTCACATGTAAATTTTTACACATGAAATTCGAATTGAAATAACAATTCTAAAAT